CATGTTGTTCCTCAGTTAATGTGGCACCAATCGCGCACCTAATCACAAAGCTCCGTCGACCTTACCATGAGTCATAAACACTTTGCCTGAACCGTTGATTAAATCCAGCAATTTACTGTTGATTTCGTTCACAAGATGTTCATCATCATCGTTTATGATTTTCCCGTTGAGCTCATGATCACTAATACCATTACGACAGGGTTTCTTTGGTGATGATCACTGACGGTGAAACCCTAAAGCAAACCAGAGAAAAATACCTTGGCACAAATACCTCAAACCTCTTATCCTGCTTCACAAGGTTTTCAAAAGTTTTGGCCATTTTCACATGCTTGCGGAGGAAGTTTCTGAGGTGTCCAGGCCATAGCTGCGAAGCACAAACCATAGTTTCAGGGACTGAAATTTCCTGCTTAATGCTATCTGCCAATCTTTGTAGTCGATCACTTGGCTTGATTCTGAAGCTTTGTTTCTCAGGTAATGAGGATTTGTTGAGAGGGAATTTGTCAAAGAAGAAGAATCTTTCACCCAAAGGCAACAACAAGTCAAATTAGTGAAAAACCATTTATGTGCATTGAAGCTAAACGAGTTGACCCCTGCAATTCCATCAATGATGAAATGCCTGAACTCAGGGCAAATAAGGGCCCCACCTGCATAAGCAGCGTCCACATGGACCCAAATGCCATACTCCTTTGCCACGTCACCTAATGGGCCAATAGGATCAACAGCAGTAGTTGTCGTAGTTCCCACAGTGCACACAAAGAAAACAAGGAACCAGCCCATTTTCCGCGTCCTTGGTTACTGCAGAACGGAGTGAATGTGGTGACAAAGCGAATGAACCTGACTTGTTGGTTTTGATGACCCTGAGATTTTCTGGGTGGATTCCTGCCACATGAGCAGCTTTTTGAAAAGCACTATGAGTTTGATCAGACCCATAAACGACAAGCTTCTTTAGGTTCTCCTTCCCCACATGGCGAAGCTTTTCATCTCTTGCAGCCACAAGGGTACACAAAATGGCCTCACAGGTTGTCGCTAACAAAACGCCGCCTCCAACGTTACTTGAAAAAAGAAAACTCTCTGGGAGTTTCAGAGCTTGTCCAAGCCAATCCATGACGATGCTTTCAAGTTCAGTCGCAGCAGGTGATGAAATCCAATTGAACCCGACAACACCAAACCCCATGCTTAACATCTCGCCCATGAAACCTGCGGTACTGCTACTGCTGGGGAAGTACGCAAAGTAGTTAGGACTCTGCCAATGTGTGATTCCTGGGACGATGTGGTCTTGAACATCCCGGAGTATGGTTTCAAAGGTTTCAGGTTTACTTGGAGCAGAGGATGGCAGCATTTTTCGGAGGTAACCAGGTTGAACTTGGCTCAGAACTGGGAAGTTAGCCACATTACGATAATAATCAACGAGTGAGTCAATCATCATGTAACCTTGCCTCTTGAATTCGTCTAGGTCGAGGGGATTCATATTGATATTGGTGTGGAACTTGAATTTGTGTGCCGTAATTATAGTACGTTAGAATGTGTTTTGCCCCCATAGCGCATATATATGCATTCGCACGTCTAGTGGGGACACGTGGAGCGGAACCTCTCCTGTGCCTTTCCTTCCGGAGCGGAAACTCTCCTATGGCTTCCCCTCCTCTTACCAACCTCTTACCTAATCCTCACCCTCCATCTCATCTATGGCCAAAATAAAACGTCCAAATGTGATATGCGCTGCGAAAAAAAAAAAAAAAGTACTCCTCTGGTCCTTAATATAGGACTCAATTGTTGAGTTGGTTTTGGTCTTAAATGTAAGACCATTTCTCATATTTATCAATTTTCTCTAAATTACCCTTATGGATACTCCCTCAACTATAATCAAGTAGGAGAGGAAGATGGGGTATTAAGAAAGATAATTATGGTATTTTAAGAAAAACGTGTTACATTTTTTGTTATAATTTTTTGTAATTAACTAACTTACCTAATTCCTTAATGTAATCAAATTAGTTAAATAGGTCTTATATTAAGGACAGGAGGAGTATAAAGTAGTTCAAATTAGATTATGTATTTAAATATTGAACTGATATGGTTTCCTTTAATTAATTTTCTCTGCTGCTTGCCCATACCAAAAAAATATATAAAATAGTTTAAATTAGATTATGTATTTAAATATTGAACTGGTATGATTTTCTTCAATTAATTTTCTCTGCTGCTTACCCATACCAAAGAAGTATATAAAATAGTTTTTAAATATTGAAATGATATGGTTTCCTTTAATTAATTTTCTCTGCTGCTTACCCATACCAAAGGAATATATAAAATAGTTTTTAAATATTGAACTGATATGGTTTCTTTTAATTAATTTTCTCTGCTGCTTACTCATACCAAAGAAATATATAAAATAGTTTAAATTAAATTATGTATTTAAATATTGAACTGATATGGTTTCCTTTAATTAATTTTCTCTGCTGCTTATTCATCATTTTTATTTATTTAAAGGGGCAACTAAAAAGAATAGTATACGCAGCGCACATCAAATCTGGGCATTTCATTTTGGCCGTGGATGAGATGAAGGGTGGGGACTGGGGAAAATGTTGGTAAGAGCCTAAGAGGAGGGGAAGGCATAGGAAAGGTTCCACTCCGTGGGCACACGCGGCTACTTTTTCCTCTTGCCCACGTTTTTGTCGTGCTTTAAATTCATTTTGTTGTCGGCTACCAATGCTTTGAAATGATTTATATTACCTCGAATCCTATTTATAAGAGCTAGTTGACTAATTTGAGAAAATTAAGGAAAGAAATTAAATTAGTTATTTGTAATAAATAGATGCTGTTTTTTTTAAAATATCCTTACTAATTAAGTGTATTGGTTAGAACTATTATTGTTAAAAAGACTATCTTAAAAAAAATACATAAATATGAGAAATATAGTGGATTGAGATCTTATATTTAGGATCAAAATAAAAGTCAAACAAGGTCTTATATTAAGAACCGAAAGTAGTATAATGTAAACCACTCAAATTTATGTAGTATTTTAATTTAAATGTTAGAATTCAAATATATCTAAATTCATAAAATTTGGCTTGAAAAAAAATTATTCGCTCACTTATTAATTTTTCCAAACCACACGTATTAATTAATTGCATATATTAATCTATGCAATCAATGAATGGTTTTCCATGTAAAAAATTCAAACACTACTACAAAAAAAATTAATTTTCATTTGTTTGGAAAGTTGGAGAAGAAAAGCCTTAATACTGCCTGACTTGTCTTAGCAGATGAGTATGGCAACACGATACTCTACCTTACATTATTACTAAAAAGGCGGCGTGAGTATAGAGGTGGTTGGAATTCGGTTTGGGGTCTCAATCCCAAACAAATAGAATGAAAATGAGGTCTCATTTGATAAGATTTTTTTTTTTAAACCTTGACTCATGCAACTGTGATATTCTCTGAAAACGATTTGACCTCTCTATCTCATATTTAAGGACAAAATATATGTTTAGTGTCATTGTTAATCCACAAAACCACGACTCAAGTTTCAAATTATATGTGACTGTTAATATATAGTTCGATTATTTAATAGGTTCCGAAAATACTCATTGCTTATTACTACTTCCCATCCTAATTATAAAATCTTGTTTATAGACTATAATTGAGGTCTTATAATTAAGATCGGAGGTAATACTTTCTTCAGTTCAAAATATAAGCTAAACTTTGTCGGATTGGTTTGATTTTTTTTATAAGATAACATTTACTTTTTTCTAAACATTTAATGAGATTTTCCAATTTTACCCCACATATATTCTTTTTTTTTTTTTCATCTTTGATTCATTTATTGCATCTTTTACTTATTCTCTTCATTAATAAGGGCTTATTTGAAAAAAAAATACATTCCTTGCATATTTATTATTTTAAACTGATTTTAATTAATTTGTTGATAAATGTAAATAGATAAAATTCAGCTTATATTTTGAACCCGGAGAAAGTATATTGTTGTTGACGTCGTCATTAATATCATCACCAATAGATAATGGTTGAGTCGCATGGTTCAAGCGATGCAATAATAATGACTTGTTAAGAATTTTAATCATCAAATAAAATATGTTTTCTCAAATGTTAATCGCATGGAGTTTGAGGAATCGTCAAAATTTATACTGTGGGACTTGCTGTAAATTATATATATATATATAGAATAATTTATAGCAAGTTATATTATTTAAAATTATGAACAAAGCATGACTTATTTTATAAATTTGTGTAATACGTAGTAACTATCAATGTTAACTTCAATAATAATATAAAAGCTATACGTCCAACATGTTCACTGGCGCTTCCAACGGTGACTTGTCGGATGCAATCATAATGCCGTCATGATGACGCCAAGGCTTTAAGGGGCTGTTTGGTTTGAGGGGATGATGGGGGAGGAAGGGAGCAGGGGAGTTTCCACTGCCTACTACTTCCAAACCCAGACTCAGCGTCACATGTTTTTTGAAGGGATCCAGCGTCCAACTACCCGCTTCTGCCAAAAGAAGGAACGAAGGATATTTAATGATTTTTTATTTGATTTAGGAAAAGAAAGAAAAGAATAGTAATAATTATTTTATCATTTTATCTATACATATAAATTTATATTTTATTTATATATTATATAAATTAATTTATATCTTGATTCAAATCATGTAATTTAATAAAAATTTAGTCTTATCATATAAATATTTATATTTAAAAATTGGTACAATAATTTTTTAGTCCAATTGATACAATGATATGTTTTAAATAATCAAATTAATAAATTTTATACGCTCTAAAAATTTGAAATTTTTATTCTCTTTCAGTTTTTCCCCCCTTTACCAGCTTGAAAATATATTTATTTAACAAAATAATATATTTTTAAAAATTAATTAATTGTATAATAATATAATTTTTCATTGTAATAATATTTTTATCTTAAATTAGTTTTTATTATAATAATACTTATTTTTAATTTTTTACTTATGATAATATACTTTTATTTGAAATAAATTTTATAATAATATGTTTGATGAGCATTAATGGAATATCGTAAAAATATAAGACAAAACAGTCAAGAATTTTAGCTCCTCTCTAAAAAAAATCCCCAATTTCAATAGAAGCTAAATTTGAGTCCCCTCTCCTTCGAAATTTCTCACCAAATGAGGGGAAGGCTCATTTTCCTTCGGCCCCTCTCCCACCTTCCTCAAATAGGCTTTTGTGTTCTAATTTGAGCATAATTACTCTAATTTGAGCCCTTTAGTTTTTTCCCTAAAAAGGCCAAAGGGACAGGTTTCTAACCTGATTTGCCATCTCATTTCTATTAATCAATGTTGAGTATGACTTCTATCAATGTTGAATACCCTTCAAGGACATAGGGTTTTGATTTACACGTATGGAGAACATGTTTCTTGGAATGATCAGATTGAGTTATTATTATTGGCTTTAACATAGACGTCATTGGCTTATGAACTTGCTTGAAGCCTGTTCATGCCTTTAGTGTCATTGTGAACTACAAAACCGGGACTCAAGTTTCAAACTGCATATGACTGCTAATGGTTCGATTGTTTAATAGGTTCCATAAATATTCATTGTTCCTTGTTATTATTTTTTCCATGTGAGCTTTTGGGTGAGATTACTTATTTGGATTGGCTTCTCATAAGCATTTTCGTATAAGTTAAGATATTTATTTTGTATATCAAAAAATTACTTATAAAAAGTTAGTCTAAACACTCTCAAATTTGTAGGATTCTCTAGCAGTTAATGAACGGCTAAATAGTTAACCTCTTATAAAAATGGAGGTTGGATAAAGGGGTGTGGTTGTTTGTACTTCCATGTTGTGATGGAAAAAAGAGAAGGTGTTATCCCTTTGCTTCAAAATTTTAAAATATAAGGTGTTTTCTAGAAGAAATTATTAGTTCATATAAAGATTCTTAATACATGATCTAATTATTGAGGTGATTTTGGTTAGAAATGTGAGACTTTTTTCTCATATTTATCAGTTTTTTCTAAATTATTCTTATGAATACTCCCTTAATCATAATCAAGTAGAAGAGGGGGAGGATATTAAAAAAATAATTATAGTATTTTAGAAAAAACATGTTCTATTTTTTATAATTAACTGACTTACTTAATTTGATTAATCTAATCAAATTAGTTAAATAGGTATTATATCAAGGAGGAGTATTAATTACAGAAAATCAATGAGTGGACCAAAACTGATTATGTACCAGAAAGAGACTTTACATGAAAACGTGATTTTTTTCCCTTCTTGATCTCGCTTTGTTCTGCTTTCAATTTATTCTGCTGGTTGCTACTGTGCTTTCAAATGTTTTATATAATTTCAACCATTCAAATTTATGTAATATTTTAATTAAAATGTTGTAATTCAAATATATATAAATTCATAAAAATTGTTTTTTCCCTGTAAAATCAGGCAGCTAAGAGCATAAAACTATCTTATTTTGCTTTTGCCTC